AAAAAGTGGAAAAATTAAAAAAAAAAAAAAAAAAAAAAAAAAAAAAAAAACGACATGACAAGTGATGCCAAAAACTTTGACAAGAGTAACTGAGCAGGAGTTTGGAAGAAATTATTCTAATTCAACTTTTACTAACTTTTCGTGCTACTCAGTAACAATGTAAGGTTTTGGTTTCGAACTCCTCATTTGTATACACTTATTTATTATTGTTTTTAAGAAAATGATTGGCTTTATGGAGTTTACCTTTTGGTGGAGTGAAGTAGACAATATACAATAGAAATAAGTCAACTACTTAGTACACAATTATATTAAAATACACAGAAACAGAGAGCAGAACAGTGGTTACCAAATTTGGGGGCAAGAAGCAATAGGGAGAGGTCAATTAAAGAATATAAAGTTGTAGTTACGTAAAATTAAGAAATGAAAAATACATTTCAAAGAAAAGATTAAAATGAGTTATATTTAAAACACAACCAAAGCACACATGTATTTCCAGGTATAGCTTCAATCGGACAAGTTTTATTCAAGAACCTTTTTGGAAAGGACTAGATGAAATTTTGAAAAAGCAAAATATTTTCTAGTAAAGTTATGTCTCTAAATATTTATTTTTTATGGCTAAAGAACACTGATTCTCAAAACTTATTTTAAAATAAAAACGTATTATTTTCCCAATAATAGCCACATGTGATTTTTTTAGATTCATGTCAATATTTGAGAGACATTCATGGCATATAGGATTTAACAGAATGATTCCTCATTTTTAAGTGACAGAGTTGGCATACTGTCATTGGTGGAGCTCATGTGAGCATTTGAACAAATGTGAACTGAACAGATAATTAAAATGAGGTTGGTCAATTACATACTTAGAACAGATTTCGTCAAAACTTAAACAGGAAGTGTCTAATCTTTACTTATTGCTTTAAGTAATAATGATATAGTTTGGTATTGGTGTTCTTTGAATCCAAAAATTGCACATTGAGATACCACACCACAGTGGAAAGTACATTAGCTTTGGGAATGGTCAAAATTATGAGAAAATCCAGGCTTTGACACTATTTTTTTAAAGTTTTTGCAAATTAGTTAATCATTTAGACTTTCAATTACTTCATCTGCAAAATAAAGATGATTATTTCTATCTCACATATATGGAGTAACAGACCTAAAATCCGAAGTGCATTCTCTACCGCTGGTTCTCAATACGTGAGCTCTATCACAATATAATTAGATCCCACCAGTGGAATTTTAATCATGACAAATACTGCAAACACAGTGCACTGGCAGAAGTCATGTAACTGAGGGAGTTGTGGGGTTTTAACGTTGTTAATAGCCTTGGGATTATTACTTTGCAAATGAGGTAACTGAGATCCAAGTAAATTATTGTTTCTACATGTAGTCACACACTGAAACCTCCTGGGATCTCATTCTTCCCATCTATGAAGACAGAGACACTGTAAAGTTGTTTTTATAGAATTAAAAATGAAAAATTAATAGGTAGGTAATCAACACCGCATAACACTGTATCACCAGTTAATTCAAGAGTTTTTACAGGATATTTTCACACTAAATTGCTGGAACCTGTGATGGCTAGTGACAATGTTATGAACACCATGCTATCAGGAAAACACTGATGAAGGAAAAGATTCATTTTTCATACCCCTTCCACGTGTGCCAATGTATCAGAAAAATATTTAAAGAGTAAATGCCAAATGTGTAGAAAATTCTCTCGTTACTCTGACAATTCTTTGGTCCTGGAAAGACTTTTTTCAAAACATAATACTTACATTATATTTATACTACCCATGAGAAATAAATCATCTGGGGACCAGCAGTTAGCTTAATGGCTATGTCACTGAACTCCCATGTAGCCGACCATGGTTCAAGTCTCAGACCAGTGGCTTAAACTCACACTGGGTGCGTGTGCATACGTGCCCAAGATTCTGAGAGGAGAATGGAGGAGACGGGATTGTGGCGTGGCCATTTCCCCTGGGGGGCGTGGTGATTTCTCACTTTCTGTCTCTCTGTCTCTTTTTGTCTTTCTGGCAAGTGCATGCGCCTTATAGCAAAAACCTCTCCAAAGAAAGAAATCATCTGTAGTACTTATAAGAGTCCAACATTACTAGCATAAATCAGATCAATATCCTGACAATATCCACTATCTCACACAGTTCAATGTATATCTAATGCCCTTTATAAAACACATGAGTGGAGGGACCAGCAGTTAGCGGATTGGCTATGTCACTGGACTCCCATGTAGTTGACCACTGTTCGCATCCCGGATCCGGTGGCTTAAAACTCACGCTGGGCACGTGTGCGTGCGTGCCCAAGATCCTGAGAGGAGAATGGAAGAGAAGGAATTGCGGCGTGGCCTCTCCCCCGGGGGGTAATTTCTCGCTTTCTGTCTCTCTATCTCTCTCTTGTCTGTCTGGCGAGCGCATGCGCCCTATCGCAAAAACCTCTCCAAAAGAAAAAAAAAAAAAACACATGAGTGGAAAAAAAATTATACTGAACAATGGAATGGTTAAAATTCTGACTTCTAAGACAAAGTGAAACAAAAAAAGAATAATCAGGCTATTATTACAAAATTTGAAAATATTTCATGGAGAAATTTATATACGCTTTTATACCAAAATAAATTTATTTCTCTTAGAAGTGTAACAATTGTTTATGAATTAGCATGGCCACTGGGTGTCACTATAAGATAACTAACTTTAGCAAGTATTTACAATTAATTTATTTTTTTAACTGAATGAAAAAAGGGATATTCTCTAAAATTGTATAGAACATATCAATTAATTGGCTGCAAGTTATAAATAATTTTGTTCTACATTTTTGCCTAAAATTTCTATTTTTTTCCTAGATTAAATTTTGTTTTTTTAAAAACTTCCAGGAAAGTTGAAATCTATAAAAATAAAATTGATGATTACAATTAGGGATAAGATCACATTGCATACTAAATTTTAAAAAGTGGAAAGTATGCTCTTTTAAAAAGAGAGATACATTCCAGATTTATTTACAAAAATATATCAATGCAAAAGCTAGCCAACTAGATAAGTTATTAGATGAAGCCTAAGTTTTTTGTATATAGTTACAGATAATTTTTGTTAAATATAATATACATAAGTCAAACTGCTAAAGTTAACACAAAATAGCAATATTTACAGATAATATTACTTGATTGCTGATCATGAATCAGATGAACACCTGGCTTTTCTAAAAGTTCAACAACTGCAGAAGATATTTAGATAAGAAGCTGTGTGGTTCTGCGAATATTTCACACCGCATTTCAGTGAGAATGCGTCTGCTATGCTTAAAAATTCATATACTATGCTGTTATTGAACCAAATGCGCACATTTACCAGAAGAGAACTTGGCTCTTAGCCAGAAAAGACAGGCATGACTCTAACTTGCTGACCTGTAGAATGCGTGGCTTGAAATCCCTTTCTCTGAACCGATGCATCAGAAATAAACCGGACAAACATTTTATTTCCAGTAGCCACAAGAGGATCTGGTATCTTGTTGCCACACAGTCGTCCAAGAATTGGCGATTTTTCTGTTTCTCCATCAAATACTTCTAGGTGATCATACGCACATTCTTGATGCTGCTCAATTTCAAACTCACTAAAAGCCTAGTTAAAAAGAAAAACAAAGAAAGTTAAAAAGAAAAATCACAAATCACTCCAAATGTTTTTTTTTTTTCTTTTGGGCAGAAATACATATCAATAATATAAATTTGGGGCACAGAAATTATTAATCCACAAAGCACGCTGTTGATAAGGGTGTGAAATCAATAGAATATGTAATCCCAAAAACAAAATTGAGAAGAATGTATTTGCTTTATGCGAAATTGTACTATTCCACTGTTATAATGAATCTTTCTATTGCAATTAAATCTATTCACAATTTAAATATTATAATAACAAAGAAGTATTTTATTCTGAATTTAATCCAGAGGATTCATCAGAAATTTTAAACAATTATGTTACAAGATTGATTTCCTTTTGGTCTTGATAAACTTAACTGTTGAACATTATCCTACCTGTGGAAACTTAAACTAAGAAGAAAACCCTATAGGGGAACCAGCAGTTAGCGTAATGGCTATGTCGCTGGACTCCCACATAGTCGACTGCGGTTCGCGTCCCGGACCCGGTGGCTTAAAACTCACGCCAGGCGAGTGTGCGTGTGTGCCCAAGATCCCGAGAGGAGAATGGAGGAGAAGGGATTGCGGCGTGACCATCCCCCCTGGGGGGTGATTTCTCGCTTTCTGTCTCTCTGTTTCTCTCTGTCTGTCTGGCGAGCACACGCGCCCTATAGTGAAAACCTCTCAAAAAAAAAAAAAAAGAAAACCTTATAAATTAATTACTGTTTTTACAAAATTTAAGTGTAATAACAGTTTATAGAATAACTAAAACAAAGGTAATTTTTACTACATTTCTTTATTTAGATTTTACAAGTGATATTATTATAAAACAGCATGATTTTAGGATGGACTATTTTTATTGATAATTTACTTTTCAGATAGATGATACACTTATTTGCTATTGTTTATATTAGAAATCATTCTAACTTACCTGTACAGTAATGTTTATGCATACATCTTAACAAATTTAAATTAAAATTCATTAAATGTGTAACACATTAAAGATCGCGAAGAAAAGTTTAAATGGGATGAAAAGAACATAACATGCCTAAACTCTTTTTTTAATAGAGATTTTTGCCAGAGACATAGAGAGAACAGGTGAGAAATCACACCCCAGGGGTGGCCATGACACAATCCCTTCTCTTCCATCCTCCTCCTGGGATTTTTAGGCACACACGTACATGCACCCCACATGAGTTTCAAGCTGCTGGGTCCTAGACTTGAACTCCAGTCTGAATTTGCCATATGGGAATTCAGCACCATAATCACTATGCCACTTCTTGGCCCACATTGCTTAAACGTTTAATACCTTTAGAAATCGCAGATTACTAACTATTGCCATTTAACACACCTTTCTTTTTCCAGATAATCATCATACATCGAATAAATTCACCCTTACTCCTTAAGTCTATAGGGCAAAGGAAAAAAGATTATAAGGAATAAAAACATTAAGAAATATAAAGTATGCTTCAAATTTCATTAATTTTATTGCAGTCCTGCAGCATAAAATATTTTCACATAAACTTTTATATACATATTTTCTTTGATATAATTTTGTAATCATAATTCTTAGTTTAACTGAAGACATACCAAAAAACCAAAACCTAAAAAACACTACTATTGCCGGTCCTCTTATCTATCCACACTAAACCTCACCACCTACTATCACTTCTAACTTTGGAGGAGTGAGGAAGAAATGAAAGAAGTAATTTATATTAACTAGGGAGTAAGAGAAAGGAATGAAGTGCCTCGAGAGAAGGAAAAAAAGGAACAGTGTTGACCTCTCTTATATCTCATTCCAATGCAGCTACTTAAAAAGGATAGATGACATGTTAAAACCAATACGCATTAGCCATTATTTGTTATAATCATTATGGTTTAAAAGGAATGCTCACTTCATCCAACCACAGACACCTGGATAGCGCAAAAAAGTAGACTGAACATAGCATGAGGAATCTCGTAGGAAACAAAAAGACAGAGTAGGGAAATATAATGACCAAATAAAAGTTAGCAGAGTTTATTTGTCCTGATGTACAAGATACAAAGCAGGTGATCACTGAAGGAGTTTGTCACTTAGTATCTACAGACCTGGATGTCTGGATAAACCTACCAATTCATTTACCTAACCACCTACCTCATGTTTTGCCAAACTCATTTGTATGTATGAAAATACTTTAGATGTGACTGACCCAAATTTTTCTTTCTTCCTTCCATTCTTCTTTCTTTTTGTTCCCTCCTTCTTTCTTTTTCTTCTCTTTCTCCCTTTCCTTTTTCTTTCTCCCTTTCTTCCTTTCTGCCTTTCTTTTTCTCTTTCTTATTTCTTTTTTCCTTTTTTTCTTTCTCTCTCTCCTTTCCTTCCCTGTCCCCTTTCTCTCATTTTCTCCCTTTCTCTTTTTCCTTTCCCTCCCTCCCTTTCTCTCTCTTTCTTTCTTTGACAGGGTCTTGCTGCCCTGATCTTGCTGCCTTGGCCTTCTTGGATTATAGCCACCACATCTGGCTCCTTCAGACAGGGCTTCACTACAGTGCCCAAGCTGGGCTCGAGCTCATAATACTCCTGCCTCAGCCTCTCAGAATCACCGCGGTTTCAGGTGCCAGCCACTGTACCTGGCCTTCAGGTTGGATCAGGAATCAAACACAGGTCTCTCCAGTGAACACAGCATGTTAGCAGTGCTCACTCCCATAACTGAGTCATGGTTTTCTGACTCTCATGAGATAATAGCTTTTATTACCATTGTGTACACATATACATTCTTAATATCACTTTGTAAATAGTGAGACACCACTATGAGAAAGCTGACTTAAGTTCTTGATTAAATATAAAAGTTTCTGAATTATATGAACAACATTATTGCAAGAGGAAAAACACATTTTCAAGCAAAAAAAAAAAACAATCTGGAAACCACAGCATGCCAAATAATTATCTTTTTGTATTGTAGTTTATAGGCATTTATACATAAATATAAAGATCAGGGAAACCTACCGTATAGAAAAAAATGTAAGAATGATGTGAGTAATTATGTTCTAATGTACATCTTGCAAGTAATTGCTAAAAATAGTAGGATCAGAATTTACAGACCACTCATGTTCAGTTCATTGACTGGTCCATTGAAGACGAAGTGAATTAGATAAATAAGTGACTATTTCACTCCCTAATGAAATGCAGGATGCCTGAAGTAATTCATACCACCTGTTTTACAACATGGCAGCACCACACAAAGTAGCATTGAGCTAGTGGGCCAAGGGATCACACTGACACCTGATCTGGAGCCAACAGGCAGTTCTGTTTTTGTTTTTGTTTTTACAAATTACTAATGGAATCAGATTGCGTCTTTAAGAGTCAATGGTTCTGGAGCTGACATATACTCAAGTGATGCAAACAACTTTCATTCATTAAAGTATTAATGAGTTTTCCTCTTGGAATTCATAGCAGCTTATTAGGGCAACTGCAAAGATTGGGTGGTCCTTTTCCAATAAGCAGCCTAATGAATAAGCTCTACCACACACAAAGTGATGATTAACGTGTGTGCAAAGATCCCCTGACCCGTATAGCATGGAGCTACCCATGTAGAAGAGAGCTTCATGTATATTAACTTTATCTCAATAAGAAAAATATTTCAAGGGCATAGAAAGGTATTAGAGGAGCTCTTAGAAATTAGAATGATTTTTAAAATATTTGTGGAGTTTATGCTGTTAAACTGTGATGGACAATTTATTTCTTCCTTCTATGACATGCTGAGCTATGAATCTGTATATCCAAATTATATAGAATACAAAAATGTCCAGCCAAAAGAAACCAATACTACAGAAATGTTCCTAGAAAGACAGTCAGAGTTCCCCCAGATTCTTCAAGTTTAAATGGAAACAAGATATCCAGCTAGGCTAAATGTTTGGAGTCCTGAGGAGCTCTGATTTCTGCTAAAATACTACTCTTTTTTTTGGGGGGGAGGGGATTAAATTTTTTAAGTACTTATGCTAAAACTTTATAGACATTCTGGTATTAAAAAAAATTTAACGCATACTCATTCCATGATTATATTTATATGACTTCAGGGCTACCAATCTAGGTTTTAGAAATACAAAACAAAACAAAACAAAACAAACAAACAAACAAAAAAATAACGAATAACCATGAGCCTAAGGAGAAGTCTTAATGGATTTCCCACAAGGCAAACCAATAGATTAAGGAATCCAATTCAGAGGAAATAAAACCAAACTGTCATTATAGGCTGTGGCAATAACTGTGTTTCTGGGACACTGAGCAAGCCTGATCTACCTGTCTGGCCACTGGCCAGGTTTCCATATGCTGCTTGTGGCCTCATAAGAACATCCGTAGAGGCCCTCTTATTGAAAATACAGGCAGTTGTGAAAAGACAGGCCATACAGAATAAGTATGTGTATTCACAAAGGATGAGATAATGAAATGATAGCACTAATACGTAAATACTAGGTTAACTATTTAAACTGTGAGAATTCAAGAGACTGATGCAATTTGAGCAGCTGGGATTTAAGCTTTAGGGCTCCCTAGTCCCAGGCATGTTTTACCTTTTCCTGTTTTCAGCAAGAATTGTCATTTAGTTTCCTGTAAGACATTTCAAGGATTAGAGGTCACTGGAAAAAATGTCAGAATGCAATACAAATCTCAGACTTTGACTCAAAAAGACCCTTTCTTTTCCATGGGTCTTCTATAACTGTGACCAAATATACATTTTATTTAGAGAGAGAGATTTTTGCTATCAGGCACATGTGCTCACTGGAGAGACAGAGGCATAAAGAAAACAAGAAATTGCCCCCTACATGCAATCTCTTCTCCTCCATTCTCCTCTTGGGAGTTTTAGCATGTATTCACAAACACCCGGCATGAGTTTGAAGCCACCAGGTCCAGGACTTGAACCGCGGTTGACTATATATGAGTCCAACGATGTACTTATTATGCCATCTGCTTGTCTCCCAAATATATTTTTTTGAGGATTTATAGTGGAGAATAATATA